AGGGTACATACCCAAGGTTGCAGGTTTGATCCCTGGTCAGGGTGCATACAGGAGGCAACCAATTAGTGTTTCTCTCTCAAACAATTTTTCTCTCTTGCCCTCTCCCTTCCTCTCTCTCTAAAAAAATCAATAAAAATATTTTAAAAATATATATGTGAATAAATAAGGTGGGGATAAAGGATGTTATTATTCATTATTTCTAACAGGATTTTTATGAGACTCTAATGAAGCAATGTGAAAAAAAAGGCTTAATTAGCATTGTGTCAGGCATCTCAGGCACATGGTAAATTCTCAATGTGTATTTCTCATGATGATGATTATGAGCGGTTGCTGTGTTTTATAAGACCTGAGTTCCAGGCCTCAGAATTGGTTTTATGAAATGCATCAACAGCAGGTTCCCACCCAGAGAACCACAGCATTTCCGTTTTGTGTCTGTAGACCTGAATGAGCCGTGCCGCCGCTGCTCCCTTCCGCCCCAGCAGCACGGCAGGGGCATGGGGAGCCGCCCCGAGAATGAGTGAGGGGCCCCACTCCCTTGTCTCCAGCGGACTTTCCGTCAGGGGCTCTCAGCTCACTGGGAGTGAAGCGTCCCCTTAAAACCAACAGTGCTCGTCACCACAGTGAAACAAACACGAGGGGCTTCGTTTTAATTTTAGCTTCATTTATGTGTTTGGAATACACACAACTGTTCCCGGTTCCAAGAAATCATACTGTAAATGGAGCTAATTAGGTTCTTCCAAAAACGGTCTTGAATTTCATTGAGTCCAGTTTGGAAAGGAGAAAACAAGTGTTGCTGCTAAATAGAACGCGTGGTGATGGGTGGACAGTGGGAGGCCAGCATTAAACGTCCTCAGGGATTTCTTTCTTAGGGCTCTTGATCAACAACTGTTCCCGGTTCCAAGAAATCATACTGTAAATGGAGCTAATTAGGTTCTTCCAAAAACGGTCTTGAATTTCATTGAGTCCAGTTTGGAAAGGAGAAAACAAGTGTTGCTGCTAAATAGAACGCGTGGTGGTGGGTGGACAGTGGGAGGCCAGCATTAAACGTCCTCAGGGATTCCTTTCTTAGGGCTCTTGATCATCAAACCTTTCATTTTCAAAGGGGAAAAAAGTAACAGCATCCTGATGCTACTGGAAGTTTCCTCCATAGATAGCAGGCAACGAGCTGTCCGCTGTGCATAAAGGAAGCCTTAATTCCTAGATCATTCATAAACTTCTTTGAGTACCTACTGTGTGCCAAGCACCAGAGAAACAGCATGAATAAGATGGGGAGGATCAGTATCCCCCCCATACCTAGTGCCTGGCACATAGTAGGCACTTGATAAGAATTAGTCGAAGGATAAGTGAGTGAGTGTAGTAACTGTTAGCTAATAGTTTGGCCATCATCTCGCTTCATTTTGATGAACCCTATAACACTGGATTACATTTTAAATCACCTGTCCTTGAAGTGGCCAGCCAACCAGGTCTTGGGCCAGGAAGAAACGATTGAGACGTGGTGGATTGGGCACTTGACATTGGTCCTGCGTGGCACCTGAGAGCATAGGCTGCCTGTGCTAGAATCCTGTCTTCCCCTCTTACAGGTCTTGAGATCGAGGCTCAGTATTCCCATCTGTGAAGTGGGGACATTCGTGGTACCCACCCCATAGGGCTGTTGTGCCGATTAAATGTGTGACTTCTTGCTGTGCCCTGAACGCTCTCTGACCGTTAAATGCCACCATCTATGTGTCTTGGTTGCTCAACCTCCTCTGATGCCTTTTTTCCCTGAGACACACACAGGGTCGATTGACTCACGTTGAAGTGCGTGATTGGCAGCCCTTCCTTTGTCTCCCAGGCCTGCAGTAGGCCCTGTCATTGGATATGAAGAGTCCAGTAGTCAGGTTTGAGTCTCAGCTTGGCAACTTTCCACCCGTGTGGCCTTGATCTTGGTCAGGTTCCTGAAGTTTAGGAGGTGATCTGTAAAAGGCAGGTACTTCCTTCACTGTGTGAAGGGTCACGCTTCACCAAGTGCCTGGCACACGGTGAGCGCCCCATAAATGGTGGGATTGTGATCGTTCCCATAAAAAGCACACAGGGCCCCTTTGGCTTCTGTGGCCTGGGGTGCCAAAGCTGCTTCACACGGTGCCCGGTGAAGTCCGGGCAGGGCTGCAGGAGCCGCCGAGGGCAGGCGGCCTCGGGAAAGAACCCGTGCTGCAGGCCCCACACGGTCAAAGCATTTTAAAGGCCTTGTATTAGAAAAATAAACCAATTAAATAATACTGCCCCCCATAAAAGCTGACTTTTAATGGATTGCACGCTGGGGTTCTCTCCGTGGCGGTCCCGCAGCCACAGGTCTCGGCCAGCCGGTCTGCCGCCATGGGGAGAGTTTAATCTTGCATGGCGTGGGCATAATTTTACGAGCTTTATGGCTGTTTTTTTCTCCTCCGAAGTGTTGCTATGTCATTGTGCACCCAGGGCAACTTGCGTGCATTTAACAGTTTACCTCGTTTTGGGTGGAAATGAAAAATGAAGTAGTAAATTAAAGAAAAACACAACATGGATTTTTTTTTCTCCCCTCTTCTCGAGGCAACCGTGGAGGAACAAAGGACCAGTGTTTCCCCATCAGCCTAATCAAATTCTAATGGCTTTTATGTGCGGACAGTTGCGCGCAGATCGCCTCCTGCCCAGAGAGGGCTGTAGGCCGCGGCGGTGCGCTGGGGATCACACTGCTGACCCCAAGAATACTTGGGGCCGTTCTCTAGGGCAGGGGCCAGCAAACTGCAGCCTGGGGGCCACATCTGGCCCATCATTTATGTCTGTGAAGCGGTTAAAAAAATCAAAAGAAAAAGCATATTTCCTGACATGTGAAAATGAGGTGGAATTCAGATTTCAGCGTCCATCGATGTGCTGGCGCACGGCCGCGCCCATTCATTTCTGCGTGGTCTGTGTGGCCGAGTGGAGAAGCGACAACAGAGACCGTATGGCACACAGCCAAAACAGCGCCTGGCCCTTTGTAGAGAAAGTTTGCTGGCCTGGCTCTCAGAGGGAAGGGAGGAGAGAGGAAAGGCAGCTTGGAGTGTCCCGGACACTCATGATGACTTACCCTCGGGGTGTTCATGTGGCTCAAAGTGACAAGTCCAAGGAGAGGTGCATGAGGAGTGGGTTCACCTGGAGACCTTCCTGAAGTGATCGGCTACTGGCGAAGGCTTCCCTCACCTTTTGGACCGCAGGTTGGTCTGCGTGACTTTCCTGGCAGAGAATCCGGAGCCCGGCCTGAGGTCTGGTAACTTCTCATCAGCTCACCCGACGGCTCAAGAATGGAGAAGTTCCCACGTCCCCTCCCAAGGACAGGGGGAGTGATTTTGGTCATATATTATGTGCCAATCTAGTTTATGGTCTCCAGTAGCTTCAGAAATTTCTAACACACGCTTTTTTTTTTATTTTTTATTTTTGCCGCCACCCAGTTGAAGCATTCTGCATATAGTAGTAACTCATTTAATCCTCACAGCCAACCTAGGGAGCCACGTGCTTTTGATGGGGAACTCGAGCGGTTAAAAATGGTTCGCTTTAGTTATGCAGTAAATAGGCTTGGGAGCTGGTGCACGTAGAAAGCTATTGTTCCAGGGACTGGAATGTCTGGCTGGGCCTGGCCTGACTCGAGGAGACCCGCAAGGGATTCGACCTTTGTGCCTCAGGAAGACTGCAGCCACCAAGACTGTCCGAGCCATTGTGCTCAGGATGCAGATAAAGAGTCACCGGTCAGCTGATGAAGGGGTGCTCGGAAAAGCTCTTATCTGATTAACCTTTTCCCCTGAATTCCAAACCCGTCCCCTACATTTTTCTTCTCTTTATAAAAAAGGGTCGGCTGGAGATGAGATGTAAGACGGTCTTTTAGGGTACGTAACCCGCCATCCTCTCGGATCGCCGGCCGCCTGAATAAAGCCCCCCCATAAAGATTCAACCCTGGCCTCGGCTTATTGGTTCTGGTAGTGACAGGTAGCACGCGTGCTGACTTTTCTGGGTTCAGCACAGAAAGGTTAGGCATCTTGCCTAAGGTCACACAGCTGGTGAGTGGTAGAGCCAGGATCCAAACCCCGGCTGTCTGCTGCAGAGAATGTCCTGCTGCCGCTCTGTAGGGGTGGAATGTTTAGGCCGTGAGAGGATCCGCTTTGCTCGTTCCCATCATGCCCACACCATGTCCGTGCACAAGAAAATCGCCTCCTGTATGAGAAGAAGGCACTTGTCCATTCATTCATTCCTCTCCCTCCCGTCAACAAATGGTTATCAGACGGCTAACGAGGAGGGGCTGCACAGAGTGAAGGTGTTTGGGAACAAGAAGAATGAGGCCAGAGAGAATCTTTTCCATTTAAAAATAGTCCTCGATGTTGGGCTTTTGAGACGTTCGCTTAATTCCCCTCTTTTGTTCATTGTACGCGCCACCTCTGTCTTTCTGGAACCACACACGCTCTTCCTTTCTGCCTCCAGCCTATATTTTCAGGAAAAAGAACCTCATTTACCAGAGGCTTTGGGGAGGCCAGGCCCCTGACTCATTCCGTGGGAAGAGCCCCCCTGGGGGCTCGGGGCGTGGGGGGCATGGTACTGTTCTGGGGACCGGATGCCTTGGGGACCAGGAGCAAGAGGTTCTGACTGACTGTTGAGGGAGGCCGCTGTGGACTCTTAGGAAGGTCACCAAGGCTGGTGCTGGCACAACTCACTGTCTTAGAACAGCCTTTACACTGTCTTTTGTAAGTAGCTTCATTTCAGTGTCTTAGAGGCCTGTGTTGTTGCCTTAATATTTGCTGGGAAGAACTTTTAGCATTATCGCTGCCCTGCCGGGCGTGGCGATGCCTGGATGTTGGGAAGGCAGGGTGGCCCCAGTGCCGTTAAAGGTACAGCTGTGCTAGAAGCCGCTTATCTGTCTTCCTTCCCCACCTGTTTCTTCTTCCCGCCCCTGTGCCTTTTCCTTTGTCAGACAACAAACGTTTGTTGCTCATTGCTGATGAGCCTTCACTTTCTTTCCTCAGTCATGCGGAGGAACCCCTTCGGCGTGGACATCTGCTGCCGGAAGGGGTCTCGAAGCCCCCTGCAGGAGCTCTACAACCCGACCCAGGTAAGCCCGGGAGCTTCCTTGTTGTCTTCGTGCATCGATTTGGGGGGCGGGTGGGGGGCGATGAAAAACTCCGAAATGCTATGCTTTGGGGATTTGAAGCTCCTTGCACTGCCTGGCGTGTTACCTTCAGTGGTTGCTTTCTGGGTCACCCTTTCTCTGTACAATGGTTAGAATTAGGTACTTCCATGGAGTCATGCTGGAGTGAGCCCTGAGATCCACACGGGTGCCAGCTGTGGTACTCAAACGGCAGAGCTGGCAGGCTGTGCAGTCTCCCCTTTGGCACCCCAAAGAAGGTGCACATGGGGGTGAACGTGATTATGAAAGCCCAGGAACGCCCCAAGAGTCCCACCTCACTGCGCCATTTTGGCAGGACGCCCTGTGTGCATGCGACTTTTGCTAAGTGACAGTCATGGTATAAATTGGACTTGATTGTGAAAAGAGTTCCTCTGAGCAAAAATACGCTCCAACCATGGAAAAGTGTTCTCTGTGGAGATCTGGGAGCAGAGGGAGGAGTCCCGGGCGCCATGATGCGTGTGGGTCTTGATGAGGAGGCTCCGAGGCTGGTCCTTTTGTGGGAACATTAATTGGCACTTGATGCTGAGAAGTGGTGAGTGAGCAATTGGTGGCCCGTCCGCTGACCTTCGATCGCTGTTAAGAAAGGGAAAAAAAATTACTGCTTTGGCCATAGTCTCTGAGCTTTATTTTATATCAAATTCTTAATTTAGTGTGTCTGTGGACCCAGTTGCTTGGTGGAGGCCAACACTGCTTGGTCCTCGAAGGTACTGGACTTCCAGAAGTTTTGCAAAGGGATGAGCCTGCGGATGTTCAGATCCCACATCTCTTCCCTGTCTCTCACCTGCACTTCCTTCTGGAACAGTGGGCTCCTGAGGTTGCTCATCACAGGTGGCCTACCCAGGTCAATGCACTGCTCCATCAGCCCCTCCCTCCACCTCGGAGCTTGGTGTGACCAGGCCAGTTGGGCTAGGCCACTGCAAACTGGGGCTTCCTTTACTGGGAGCTTGACATTTGGGTTTTGTTTGGTGCCCAAATATTTCAATGATAGCAGGCAAGTCTCCCGGTCCGTTCTCTGTCCTTAGGAAGAGGCAGAGCCAGCTTCGACAAAGGGCAGGATTTCTGGTTGGCCACATTGACAACAGCACAAGCAACCGAGATGCAAGCCGCTCCCCTCCTTATGTTGCCATCCTCTGTTCTCAGATGATTCCGCCGTCAAACCAAACTGCCAGAGCACTGCTGCTTTCCTGAGGAATGTCATGGGCAACATATGGTATCATGGGAAGAGCCTCTCTCTGAAGTAGATGGCTCTCTGGGCTGTGTCTCTGCTGTTCACTGCTGTGTCCCCAGCCCTAACGCAGGGCCTGGCCTCTAGCAGGTGCCCCCAAATATCTGTGATTGAAAAATGAATGTCCAGGTTCAAGTTCCTACCTCACCACCAACTGGTAGTGCAACCTTGGATGCACAATGAGTCCTCCTTTAGGCTCATTTTTCCCATCTCCCTGGGTTGTCGGGAGGGTGAAATAACTGATGTGTCAGAGGCTGTGTAAATATGAGTCATCAGTGTCATGGTCATGAGGATGGATTCAGTGTTGGAAGTCTTGACTTTAGAGTCAGACCAGGTTCAAAGAATGGCTTTCTCACTTATTGGCTGTGAATGTGGGCAAGACACTTAACCCCTCTGAGGCCACTTTCCTGCCTTTATAACATGGTCCTCAAAATACCAGCCTTGCCTGGCTGGTGTGGCTCAGTGGTTGAGCGTCGACCTATGAACCAGGAGGTCACAGTTTGATTCCCGGTCAGGGCACACACCCGGGTTGCGGGCTCGATCCCCAGTGTGGGATGTGCAGGAGGCAACCGATCAATAATTCTCTCTCATCATTGATGTTTCTATCTCTCTCTCCCTCTCCCTTCCTCTCTGGAATCAATAAAAAGATTAAAAACAGAAATACCAGCCTTGCAGGCTTACATGAGAAGATATGCCTTCCTCGGTGCCTCTTATGGAGTTTGTTCATCCCTGGATTCATTCACCCATTCACTCCTTCAGCTGCTATTATGAGTATCTGCTCTGTGCAGCTCAATGCCAGGCACTGGGCACAAAAGGGTGAGCAGGGCGTGCGGTTGGCCTTCCATATCTGGTTCCATCCCAGGGTTGGCATGAGTGAGTAGACGGGCAGTAAACTAATCAAAGGACAGAGAACCCTCCTGGGTAGAGTCCATCTCTCACTCAGTGGGAGCGTTGTGTGGGTGAGATGCTCATTTAGCAGCAGTAGCCCCGGACCTGGGAGGGAAGATGGGGCTGGAGAGGCGGCTCTGGGAGCATCTGCGAGGGCGTAGGTGGGTGAGTCACCACCCTCCATCAAGAATGCCAAGGGCAAGCTGTCTGGCCCCTGTCGCTGGTCACCAGGAAAGTGTCCCTGCAGGAAGATGGCCCTGTTTCCCCTGTTTCCTCGGGATGTTGTCCCGGGATGTTTTTTCTTAGGGTGGTTTCCTTTACAAGCTGCAATTATGTTCCACTCCCACACAAGGTCGGTCCATGGCGCTTCTTGGAGAAACTGTTGGTGTTTTGGGCTGCTGCCCCGGGGC